CCGCGCGCTGGCGCTGGCGCTTCGCGGATGCTTCCGCCTCCTGTCTGTGCCATTTCCTCATGAACCATGCCGCCCCGTCCTCGATCTTGTCGTACCACGCCTCCTGGTCCTTGGCGCTCTCTTTCCATCTCCCCCCCTCCTTCTCCTCTTTCATGCCAAACGCCACGAGGTCCTCTCCTAGGCGATACACCCAGTCGCTCTCCTGCCCGCCCCGGTATCCGGTACCCCCCGCCATCGCTCCCAGCAGCATGCGCTTGGGGAGGCGGTTGTCCTCCATGCGCATAACGAAGCCCGCAAAACACAGCCTCCGTTTGCGCACGGTGGCCTCGATGGTTTCCTCCAAGATCGAAGCCAACAACTTTAAAGAGCTGTGTTTCGGGAGGGAGAAGAAGTGTGCAGCACAGAGAGATGTGGTTATGCCGCTGTTTTTCTGCCAGACTGTATGCATATGGGGAGAAGAAGTGACGAAGAGGTGGCTCGAAAATGGCTGCGTAACACGGTATTCACGGCAGGAGAGACACAGGGTAACACAGTACACCGGTCGCCCCGGTGGTCTAGTGGGTAACCTCGCAGCCTGCGAAGGGCCAGGTCATGGGTTCGAGTCCCGGCAGAGTGAGTTTTTTCTCACTAAATAAATCCTGGTCTAGAATGAAAGCGACGCGCTGCAAAGCTCGTTGTTAGTAAACCATAATCGACTTCGTAAGTCGCGAGGGAAGGGATTGCTGTACCCTTCTCGCGATAAAAATACCTCAGGCAGGAACCGCAGGAGGGGGTCCAGCCCCCCCCTCCTATGTGACCCTGGTTGGGTCGTCTAGCTAGTAGAAGTGGAGGGTAGGGGCCAGAGGGGCAGACGACAGAGTCCAATGATGGGAGAAAAACAAAAACAACAAAAACAAACAGAGTAGATTTCTTGCGATACCACAAATTATGTGTCAGGTCGGATGGTCCTACACTTTTGACAATGGTCTCACTGACAAGCAGGTCGAGACCTGCTGGTACCTACCCCGATACGACCCAATCCAGAAACGTACTTGTTACATGATAGGGGCACAGCTAGTGGCGAGAGACCCACCCCAGCTGTATGGGTGGTTGTTCGTGACTTGAACTATCGGACTAGTCTAGTGGCGGATCGTCATGAAGCGAAAACGTTGAGATCTCTAACGCTTATTTGTTCACAACGCGGTGCTTTTCATGGCATGTCCCCTACCTCGAAGCACAGCGTTTTTTGTTTTTTACTTCATGTTTTGCATCCAATCAGTGACGGTTTCGTGCTCTAAACTACTTCCCCTTCCCCCTGCTGCGACGCGTGCGAAACCCGCATTACTCGGAGCAGATACCTCAAGCGGAAGATCGGTACGACCTGTACCTTGAGAACAAATCGTGGGAGAAGGCGGCTGAGGTAGCAGCGAGACTCAAAGACCCAAGGTATTTTTTTTCTTTTTTTTATCATGCTCCAGTATTCTTGACTGCATGCATGGATACGAAAAGACGTTTTTTTTTTTTTTTGTCTTCAGTAGATTCAAACGGCCTTAGGTCATTGCGCTCCTCAAATCATGCTACGCTATGGAGACGTATTGACCCGTGTTGTCACATCTGTTGTAACGCCCAACGCTGATGTGACGGTATGAGCTTCATCGAATGGTCGTGATTCTCTCCCATCGGAGGAGTTCTGACGTTCGAATGCTGTCTGGCTGGCACATGGTTATGTTTCGTGACCTCAGCACAGCAATCACCGACTCGTGTTCCCCGCGATGGTCTTGATAACACGAAATCAAATACCCAATAGTGTAGGTCAACCAATCAATAGCGATACCGAGGACCCTAGGTCAGCCATCACAATATCCTCGTGGTGGGGCTGTCCTGGTCCAATAATAGTGGTGGCGGCGACACTCGAAACATTCCAGGTGACGAATGCCAAAAGTAATTGTTTAAAAAGAGGGCCAGGTGCCGCTGCAAGAAAAACTTTGTAAACCTGCCTCGGAAACCCGCCGCCCTCCGCCTGCCGGCATCGCAACTGCTGCGAGTGTTCAGGAGGATAGCTGAGGTGCGGAGACTAGCCACGCCGGCGGGGACGGCATCAGCCTCTCAGACAACATCAGGCGGCAGCGGCGGCGGCGGCGGTGGCGACGGGTTCTCAAGGCCCAAGTAGTGGGCCGGTGCCAGTGCTCGATGTCACGATCTTGCTGGTAGTCCTGCTTCGGGGTGTGAAGATGATGCTGCACTTTGTCGTGTGTTGCTGCTGTCACGACAGTACCGTGGAGCAGTTTAGAGAACAGCAGTCGCTAGAGCCCATCAGCACTTTTTCGTTGAGCGAACGACGAGCTTTAGCCCAATATCAAACCATGCTGCGGCATACAGCCCATACCGTGAGAGATCAACCGCGCGGTACTCGTTGGTACTCGGTGGTGTTCTTGCTCTACGTTGCTGTAGGACAGGGGGCCGTAAGGGATGTGCATGATTTACATCGGAGGACGCACCCTCAAAGGGCATACTTACCGAATCCACGGAGCCCCGCTCGGGCCAACCAGCGTAGGCGAAAATGGCACGAAACTGGAGAAGAATGACACGGAAAAATGGAAGAGTAAAGGTCACCCCTAGCGCGGCGGGTGGGGGTGGGGGTGGGGGTGTACTCATAGTCGTGCATGCCGTAGTCGTTAGACCATTGACCTCGCATCCCTACAA